TTCTCACCCTTTCTAAGCATTGCTTTCTTTATCGGTAAAATGGGAGTGAGAGCAGTAAGCTGGTTGTGCTGTGAGTGCGTGTGAGTAAGGCTCGGTGCTCCTTGGCCCTCCACGGTCCGGTGAGGCTTAAGGAATGGCAATAATAACGCTTGTCGTTCCCCGAATGTTTGGTGTCGGCCAGGCCCACGCTGGTGAGCCCCCAGCATGCCAGGTCAGCATCGGTTTGGTGTCCCCCAGAATCCCAGCAGATGGCAGCACGCTAGGCCGGCTGCTGGGCTCCGGGTTTGCAGGGCTCTGTTCTGCTCAGGCCTCTAACTTGGAGCGTGTGATCGAGCAGCGTGAGACCAAGGCGTCTAGAGGCAAAGCCAGGGGATCGGACTCAGTTGTGGGGTCACTCCAGCTCATTCGTGCCCTAAATAGGCCTGGCTGTGTCCTGCGTATTCATCTGGGCAGTTGGACACATCGTCGAACAAAACAGCAAGAAGCCTCCTGTGCAGGGCTGACCACGGGGCACATAAGCTGTGTGCGTGAGCAGTATTGTGCGTCAGTGCTGGCGGGGGAGGCAGCGGGCGGAGCAGCCTGTGCGTCTTCACACAGCGGCATGTGTGTCTCTGCAGCTTTGTCCTTGTCTTGAACCGGGGCCCCCATCCCGCCCGAGTCGCCTCTGGGAATCGTCTTTGAGAAGGTTCCAGGCCGGGGATGTGCCTTAGCTTCCCCGAAAGTCTCGGTGCTCAACAAGCAGTAGGTCGTGAGCCCATTTCTTTAATCATGGTTAGAAATGTTGGCTCTGCCACTTGAGGCCTTTTGCTCTGCCTGACCTTGCCGCTTACTAGCTGTGCGTGCCCTGCCAGCCTGGCGGTGGAGGCCTGCGGTGCGCCGCTGTGCCTGGGGATCGGCTGGTCCCGGGGCAGTCCTGCCGCTGCTGGAGTGGCGGGGGGTCCCTCGCTCACCCGTGGCAGGTCACTCGGCCATGCCATTGGGCATGATTCACTTCTGAATGATACCAAATTCAGGCAAGAATATTCAGCTTCTGAATTAGCATGATCTGAGAATTGAAACAGGACAGTTTATGGGTCAAGCCGTTTCCCTTTTCCTTAATTTTGGTCAAGTGTTTCTGTAACAGGAATTTAAAAAACAAACAGAAACATGCAGTTCTAGGTAAAGGTATAGGTAATGCTTTAAGATTGCAAAAGAATGAATTGAATGCATAAGAAAAGTGTTTAAAAGGCACCGTGACCGAGGGATAGATAGACTGATGGGTGGGACAGAGTAGAGGCCCAGGAACAGACTCACAGAATAGTGCCCAGCTGGTTTTTGGACACAGGTACAGAAGTGGTTTGATGAGGAGGGACAGCCTTTTGGCAAATGGTGCTGGGGCACTTGGACATCCACAGGCCAGATAAGAGAAGTGAACCTCAATGTAAGCCTCATGCATTGAACAAAAATTAATGGGCCATAGAACGAAAAAATGGATCATAAATTTAAATGTAAAATGTTAAACTGTCAGACTTTTGGATGAAAACCTTTGGGACCTGGGATAGGGCACAGACTTCTCAGTCTTCATCCCAAAAGCACCATCCATGGAAAAAAGGCAAATTCAAAACCTTATGCTCCGTGGAAGGCCTGTTGGGTGGATGAAGACAGGTTAGAGACCAGGAGAAAAGGTTTGCAAACCACGTCTCTGACGAAGGACTAGTGTCTATAACGAAGAACTCTCAAAACTCAGCAGTGAAAAAGCAGACAGTCTAGTGAGAACATGAGTAGATATTTTACCAGAGGAGATTTGGATGGTGAAGAAGCTAAGATGCTCAGCACCGTTAGGCCCCGTCAGCAGAGCCCACACCAGGGTGAGAGAGTGTGCCCTGCATCAAATGGCCAAATCAAAGCAGCCGCACGTGCGGACGTGGAGAAACGAGCTCTCGTCCACTGCTGCTGGGGATGGGAGAGGTGGTGCAGCTGCTCTGGAAGATGGTTTGGTAGTTTCTTATAAAGGTGAATGTGTACCTGCACCTGGACCCACAGGTGAGCACCGGATGCTATGAGATCTGAAAGACATGGTGTCCCTGGACCGTGCTGTTCCAGGGTCGCTGTCCCGTGCTGGATATTGTACTCCAGGTTAGACAGGATGTCACCACTGGGGACCTCTTTTGTAACTTCCTATAGACCTAGAATTTTTTCAAAGAAGACCCAGTAGGAGATGAGACAGAGACAGACAGAGTGAGCCAGTGCCCCTGTAAGGGATTTATTATATGAAGTTGGCTCACACAGTGGTTGGGGCAGCCAAGAACTTTGAACTGAGGGGCAGCTGGGCAGGAAGGGGAGGTGGCAGTCAGCTGGCAGCAGCTGTTCGGAGCTTCCAAGACCAGGAAGGCTCAGCCTCCTATAAGGGGCTCACTTGATCAGGCCAGGCCCGCTCAGGACAATCTCCCTTTCGGTTAATGTCAGCCAGGTAGGACTTTTCGAATCTGCAGAATCCATTCACAGCAGACCCAGCCTTGTAAGTGGGGACTGCGCTTCAGCCCAGGCAGGACACTACCCCGTATCAGCCCTCAGGTGATGACCTCGGTCTTCTTAATGCAGTGTGATCGTACCGTGATTTTTGAAAACCGATAAATATTCTTTAGTACAATTGAGGTTGATGTAATTGCATTAGCTGAAAGGGTGTAATTTCTGGCATATTGTAATACTGATATTTAAAACCTCTTCTGGTTTATTGCTCCCTTAAATGTCTCCGTTATAATGCAAACACTATCTTCCACTGAAAAGTGTGTCCCATACATGAGCTTTAACCGGCAGATTTCACCTTGTTCCTTTTGTGTTTTGAACCTTGACTCCCATTTCATTTCCCTCACCAAAGTCTATCCCATTAGCCAGGCTGTTGTCCTCTTCTGCAACAGAAATATGGATATAAATTGAAGCTGAGAAATTTGTTTCCTGTAGTCATAAGGTCTCAGGGATTAAAAAGCGCTTCTGGATTTTGTTCTCACTATAACTGTTAAGTATACAGTTGAGCGAAGCGACACGTGGGTATCCGGCTTCATAATTAATCCTCAATCATCTTGTATTGTGGATGGGGTTTCTGGAATCCATGGATGATTATGACTTCTGGCTTAAAATGTGGCAGGGCTCAGTATTGGTTCTGTTTCTGTTTTTAGCTTTCCTGGTTTTAAGGGCTGAGAAACTCTGTTCACATAAATGTGTGGGAGGAGAAGGAAGTCTCTCAGGTTGTGTGGCCCACGATCCCAGTGATCCATCGTTATTTTTAATGATCTATGGGCTGAAAACTATGTCCTTTGTCAGCTCTGTTGAAAGCAAAGAACCGTAAACCAGAAACTCGCCGCAGAGCTTGTGGCCGGTCAGCAGATGCCTGAGCCTCTAACACCTGCCTGGCGTTTCCACCTGGCGCCTGCTCCAGGGCTTGCACATCCCGGAGGCACATGTACCTCAGCATGGTTAGAGGGGGACACGATTGTCTTTTCAGTAGGCAGAGGGCCCTGGGAAAGGGGACACATACGTTGGCCAGAGGCGCTCTCTCATGGAATCATTTTTGTGAAATGGAACATTCTGGAAGGTGAAGATCTGGAAGTTGCTTTGCTGAAAGCCACCCACATCCAGGAACCCTTGGGAACCTTGGGGTACCTCTAGGGCTGCATTTACTCCAGCTTGCCTCAGAAGGTTATTTCCTCGATCTTAAGAATTTAGGGGAAGACGTATATTTGGTCAAACAGCTTTGTCAGATGGTGGAGTGGATGAACTTTATTTCCTGCAGGAGTCCTCAGACCTTCATGTACTGAGGTGTGTTGTGAGTTTCCACTAGGGAGCTGTTAACTGTTGTCCTCTCTGCACAATCCAGCTCATTTGTTTTCTCGGGAACGAGGGATGGGAGTACGTGTGTGTGGAGCCTGGGGGCACACTGGTGTCCGCGGAGCACACTTTGGGGGACACCAGACACTTACAAACCGTGCTGTCTCCTGTTTGGACGTATGAGAAGCTGAAGCCTGCAAACCTATATATGGCCACAGCACCACGCCAGAGGTCACTTGGGTTCTTGTGATGCCTGACCTGTGGACAGGTCATCAGGATTTGGCGTGTTACCTCAGGTGCTACCAAGGAGCAAGGAAAAGAATGCGCAAGACACTACCTCAGAGTGACATGCAGTTGGCGATACTCCTCTTTAGAGAAAGGCCTGTGGTCCTGCAGTTCACTGGGTGTGAAATGAGGCCATTTGTGCCCTTGGTTTTGGGAGGGGGCGTTTAATAGCCATGTGGCTGTGACACTGGCTGGATTTTCAGGTGTGTTTTTGGTTCTGTGAAATCTTCTCATGTAAAAGCACTGCTTTCCCTGGGCTTGGTTTTTGGAGAGTGAAACTGAAGGATGCCGTTCTCCTCAGGTAATAATTCTGTGTTTAAGGGCTCGTTTTTGCACTCCACCACGAAAACATGCTGGCGTCTGCTGTGGCATGCCCCGTCAGGCTGGAAGAACCGTGGCTGGAGGCCCCAGTGAGTGTGTGCGGCAGCGAGCCAAGGCTGCCCTGCACCAGGGACTGGGGCCCCGCCGGCGTTGCGGCCCCTCTGTTGTGTCTGCCGTCCTTCCAGCACTGACATTTTGGAATGATGTCGATGAGTGTTGTGTCATGAAAGCCCCTGCTTGCCTGCAGGGGTTCACTGGGGCGGCCTGAGGAAAAGACCAAGCTGTTTTCATGCCGCTTCGGTACCCTTGCCCGTGTGTGATGTCTGGTGACGTCTGCTCTGTGCCCTCTAAGAGTGTAAATGCTCTTAGCCAGCCGTACTGAGAACCAGCAGTGAGGAAACTTAAACTATCGAATCCTCACCTCCCGTTTATTCTTGGCCAGTGTGAAGTCTACGTCACTTAAGCGCGATCCCTGCCTGGGCACAGCCCCCAGTGCGGGTCATCGGGAGCTGACTGTCGCATTACTCTTGTATTCTCACAATGAATGTCGCTGTTTTAAGGTCTTTTTCTTTGTGATTCTTGTTCCCTAGCGTCGTCCCCCAGACCACAGTAATACTCAACAACGACCGGCAGAACGCCATTGTAGCCAAGATGGACGACCCCTTGAGCAGCAGGGCACCGGATTCCCTGGAAAATATCATTAGCAAGTCAGTGGCCACCGCATCAGCCCACCTTTCCCTGCCACCACTGTGATGAGTCCCCTCGAGGACAAGTCAGCGTTCCGAGCCGGGCAAGCCGGTCGTGGTCCTCACGCGCTCAAGCTGCAGGCATGGCCACGGCTCTGCAGTGGGGAGGGCATCCCCCTGGTGCCCGGTCTTGCCGGCCCAGCTGGGCCAGGGCCAGAGGTGCAGGGATGGGCGACTGCCGGGGCTGCCGCGCCATCGGGAGAGGGCATGGTGTGTTCACAGCAGTCGCAGAGCTCTCCTTTGCGCACCGTGTGCTCATGCCTGTCTGTCTGTCCAGCAGTGTGTCAGGGCAACAGATGTCCCTCTTCTAAACTTGCTAAGTGATGGAGGCCAGTAGAGGCAGTGGCTTTTTTTCTCACACCTATTTTTTGAGCCATTTTGGGACATTTCTTGGTCAGAAGTGGGGGCCTGGGCGTAGCTGTTCCCAGCAGCCCGCCCTGAGAGGGCCGTTGCGCATTTTCTTTCTGGCCCCTGTCATCATGAAGTTCTGTTGGCCTAGCCGCTTAGCCTCTATTGCTGACCGCTCCTCCCCCGGCCACGTGGGCTTCCTTTGTGGTGGCGTGGTCCCTGCTCTGGTCGCTGTGGAGCAGTGAAGCCAGGGGCTGGGTGCTCCGAGGCTAAGGCCGACCGGCTGGAGGAGGAGCAGGGCCAGGCCTGCTTCTGAGTAGCCTGGGTGGAGGTCAGCGTCACCTGAGCATTTGGGAGCAAGGTCAGCGCGGGCAGGCCTCTGGGGGAACCAGTCTGGGAGGTGCAGCTCCCTTGCCCAGCACGGCCAGGGTATGGAACGTGTTTTGTCTTTGTAAATTGCAAATGCTGCCTGGCCCCTTTCTCAGTGCTGAGCGGCCCACCTGAGGGGAGGTGGGGGGGGCATCACGGGCAGGAGACAAGTAGTGCTTTGCCCCCAGGTCTTCATTTTGTGAGTACTTTTTGGAGCTGGGCGTGTCCTGCTTTTCTGGGGGTATGAGGATCCCCTGTGGTGAGAATATTCCCCAGGGAGATTGTTGACTCGCTCTTCAAACAACCCCCTTCAGTGGTTTTTGCCCCTGGGAACAACTGGGAGTGCTAACTGCATTCTCAGAGGCCAGGCATCTGTAGACCATCTGCGGGTGGAGCCTGCTGGCTCGGGAAGTCTCCAGGCCCCCTTTCTCTAGCTCAGTCTGTCCCTTGATGTGGCCCTAAAAGGTGCTCTTGCTCAGATGCCAGCACCGTGCAGGCTCCCTGCCATCAGAGGGCGGCATTCTGGGCCTGAGTCACAGGGCGCTGTGCCTCTACTTCGTGGCACAAACTCCTGGGGATGGTTTCCTCGCACCCCAGACTGTTGGCTGCCCTCGAGCTGCCCTGGTGACGGTAGTGAGCGCTGCGTGGGGGACACTTGGCCCACTGGCCCGCGCACGGGTGGGGGCGCCACTGGGTGCAGGAGGGCACCCTGCAGGGCTCCGCGCGGGGCTCTGTTGCCTGCTCATGTTGCCCTCACCATGGGCTGTCTTTCTGTTTCCTGCTCAGCGCGGTCCCCGGGCGTCGGCAGAACACCATCGTGGTGAAGGTGCCGGGCCAGGAGGACGGCCACAACGAGGACGGGGAGAGCGGGTCCGAGGCCAGTGACTCTGTCTCCAACTGCGGCCAGTCGGGGAGTCAGAACATCGGAAGCAACGTCACGCTCATCACCCTGAACTCGGAAGGTGCGCCCATGAGCTTTTCCTCACCTTTGCCTGGACGGCAGTGGGTATAGTTCAGTTTTGTTTGGTTTTTGCTTTTTAGAAGTGATGCACATGTTCCCCAACTTAGAACTTTTCAACTTCATGATGGTATGAAAACAATACTTATTCAGTAGAAACTGTGCTTGGAATTGCCAACTTGATCCTCTCACGGGCTGGTGAGATGTGGTCCCAGCCTGTCTCCTGCTGGTGGGGGTGGCAGCGAGCTGTGGCTCCCGGCAAGCTGCGCAGTCGCCAGGGCACAGCGGTCCACTGACGAGCACTCTGTAGCCAGACAAGCACCTGCTTGTCGCTTCCCGTGCCGTGTTCACACTCCCTGGGACGTTCCCCACCCTGTTACCAAGGAGGTTTCTTGGGTGGTGGTGTCCCGCTTGCAGGCTGGTGCAAGTGCTCGGGCACGTGTGAGGCAGACCGGGCCGGCTGCGGTGTTCCGTGGGTTGGGACTGCCCAGAGCATTCTTGACGTGGGGGGGGTTCATGAGAGGTAACCCCATCGTAAGTTGAGGAAGATCTGCATGTTTTTTGTTTTTAAAAAGTGATAGAAAAAAGTGAAAATGACCTGGAATTCCATGTTCTGAAATCAGTCAGTCTTCTGGGCTGTTTGTGTGTTAACATGCACACTCTATTTATGATTTTGTAGCTTTTTTCTATTGTGTAGTAGAAATCTTTCCACATCGCTGATATCCATGATTGTTCTCAGTCAGTCTCGGTTAATCAAGGCATGGAGGCTTTCTGGTGGCAGGCAGTTAACTGGCAGTCCGCTCACCTTCTCGGGTGACAGGTCTGATGAGGGCCACCCCACCTCCACTGACCAGACAGTCAAGGCGGGTCCACGCCACGGGCTGCCCTGCTCCTCCGACTGAGATTCAGAGGGCACAGCGCAGCCGTCCGCCTTTGCGGGACCCTGTTCCACCCACACTGGGGTTTCTGTCCACCCTTCCTCTCTCCTGCCAGGTTTCGGGGTGCAAAAGGGTTGTGTGGCTGGCCGGGTATGCTTTTCAGAGGACTCGTGCCCTTTGACACCCCTGTCATGCTTTGTCAGGGGGCTAGCTTGTTCTTCCTAAATTTCGTGCAGCACAGAGAGCACGGACAGGGTGCAGGCGAGTGGGCATTGTGTTATAGGGTGCTAAAGCCTGTGATCCGTTTACCAGTAAGAACTTATAAAGGTTTTTCTGCTTCTGCATCTGAACGAAGAGATTCCTATTAGCAAGACTTGTTAGCATATTTGAAACATTGAAAACAGTGTTTTTCTCAAAGTTTTGTTGACTTCTACAGAAATTGCTAGGATTGGGATGGCAGAGTAGGGTGTGAAGAGAAAATTAGGGACAACCTTCTTTTTTAAAAAATTGAGCTCTCCCTCACCCACCGTGAGAAGGAGCAAGGAGCCTGTTAAAGCATATGTCTTGGTGTTGTGCAGCCGTCACCACCATCTAATCTAGGGCAGTGCCTTCCCCCGAAGGGCACCCTGTGGCAGTCATGCCCCATGCCCCTCCACAGCCCCTGGCAGTCACTAGCCTGCTCTCTGTCTCTGTGGAATCCCCCGTCGTGGGTATGTCCTCCAAACAGCTTCATCCAGTGTCATCCACATAGTGATGGGCATTAGGACTTGATTCCTTTTTGCAGCTGTGTGACTCTCCACCACAGGGATAGACCACATTTTGTTCTCCCGTGATGATTGTGAGCATTTGTATGTAGGCTAGTGTGTGGGCATGGGTGTTCATTTCTCTTGGGCACACAGGTATCTGGGAGTGGAATTGCTGTGTCAGGGCAGCTTATTATTTTGCGCATGAAGTTGATGGAGAGAGAGCGCTCTGTCTCATCCTCACGGGCACTGCCCGGAGACTGCGTTTGCTGTGGGCGCCGGCGGCACCCCTTGTTCTTACTCTCTCCATGTGGGTTTTGGGTATATACCCATACAGGTCTGGCTTCCCACTTTGGGCCTGACTGGCTTGGTTTCAAGTGTATTGGCTAAGGAATATACACCCTTGATAGTTCTGGGAGAGTCTGGGGTTATCATAACAACAATTTCTTTTTTTTTTGTTCATATTTCTTAATGTGGTATGATTAATGTGAAATTTATTTCACGGGGAAGCCGCAGACTGGCACTAAAATGAGCATACAAAAATGAATCAGACTTTGAGCTTATTAGTGTTATTAACATCTATAAGAAAAAATATAGGTTTTCTTTCTATCTGAGGTCAAGTTCTTTACCTATGAAATGATACACTTTGTGTAAAGCTTTCTTGTTTAACAGCTAAGATTTTGAGCAAAGTTTTAAAATTGATTATTTCCATCAAATATGAACTTGTCACACAATGCAGGTTGTTCGGATTGGGGCAAATTAGAGAAATTTCTCTCATTTAAAATTTTACTTTATCTTGAAGAAGTTAGGACTCAGAACCATTCCATCAGGAGAAACCATTTTGTGACACATCTGTCCCTCTGACACCGCCCTTGGGAACGTTGCATAAATAAAAATATCCCCCAGAAGCCTGGACTACCCCAACATGTGGATATTTATGGGACAGGCAGTTCTAAGCAGCACCACAGTAAAATGTCCCATGCATCACACAGAATGCTCATGCTTCTCCTAGGGTGGAGGGCACTCATGTGCAGTTGTAGGTAACCCACATCCCGGCTCTGGACACACGCTGAGCCACAGTGCCTGTGTATAGTAATGCGGCCTGAAGCTGCCAGGATGCCGACTTTGGGCTTCCTGTCCTGCAAGTCCTGTGTGGGTTTATGCCACATTACCATTCCTGTTTGGTGCCATTTCTTCCATTTTATGCAGCATGTTGCTTCTGAAATTCATAAGCAGTTTGGGCAGGCCCTCACAAATGCCAGTTTTTGTTACAGATGGAAAATAACTTTATAGCAACTTGTGCCCATGCATCTGTCCTCTGCAGACCTGGGGATGGCAGAGGGTGTGCTTGAGGAGACAGATGGGCATGAAGGTTGTTGTGCTGTGGAACTGGCACCATGGTCTGAATCTTCAGACAGACCCGGAGCCTTTAGTGAGCCCTTCTGGTTTGTTCACTCCCTTGGGTGGGGTCGCCTCGTGGCCACAGAGCACTGAACATGTGCAGTCTGAGTAGCAGCTAATGCAAGGCCAGCTTCTCAGGCAGCTCCTAGTGAGGGCCTGGGGGCAGCACGGAGCACAGGCAGCTCGAGGGTGCCTGGTGCGTCTAGGCCCTGCTCGCTGGACGTGGGTCCTTGCTCCCGCTGCCACCCCGCCGACCCTCCTGTCCATCAGAGCTGCTGACACCTTGGGGCACCATGACCTGGAGATGTTTCTCCTGGCTGGCAGGTGGGATGCAGCGAGCAGGACCACGTTGTCTTAGGGAGGAACCAAGGCTGGGGGACAAGCTTTTGGAACACTGGCCACCTTCTTGACTGGCAGCCTGGCCTCTGAGGTGGTGCGCAGTGGGTGTGCAGTGCCGCCGTCTGCAGACTCAGGCTTGCTGATCGCTTTGAGGAGTGACAACACATCAGAGTCAGGCCAGCTCAGGTGCTGGGCCTCCTCAGCAGCGGGCCCTGGGCTGCGGTAACACGGGGGGTGCGCCTAGCACGAGGCATCCTGGCAGGGAGGCCGGGGCATGGCTGAGCGGCCCAGAGCCACACTGGCTGGTGCTGTTGGAAGGTGTAGGTTATGATCTGGGGGCAGCAGGTGTTGAAAGGAAGCAGGATACCCAGTGGCTTCCACTTGACAGTGGTAGGAATGTGGCCCTCATTTTCACTGGAGTGCCTTCTGCTGTTCGTCCCACTCTCCAGTACTGAGAGGCTCCGAACAAGGGTCTGTGTTCTGGACTGGTTAATGGTAAGGAAGCTCAGGTGACTGCCGAAGGCTTCTTACCGTAATAGGTTTCTCAGAAGTGCCAGCTAATGTCACTGGCAATTTAATGATTGAAAGAGAAAGCAGGTTTATTTTTCTTGTATGGTTTTTAAATAAAGCTATTAGATTCTTTCTGTTGTTTCAGATGCCAAAACCAACCAAGCTATTTTGGTAAAATAAATAAATCCTTTTTGAATTGTCAAAAGGGACATTTCTTAAACTTCTCAAATACTTACGTAGGCAGGTGTTCATCTTGTTTTCTGCTTAAAGGACATGTTTTCTTCTCGCTGGTGAGAAGCTGGGGCGCAGACTGAGTTCTGATTCCTGAGCTGGGCTGATTTTTCCAGGGAAGGCAGAGCTGAGCCAGCAGGTGAGCTGTGTGGCTCAGTGAGACACACACCTGGAATCCTGTCTTGTTGCCGGGAAAGTGGGGAGCCGCCATCTCCCAAGCGTGCCTGAGGGTGATGGCGGAGCCCGGGGCCTCCCCCGCTGCCCCGTTCCCACACAGCGATTTTCCACCTCTGCCGTCAGAGTTGCTGCCCCCTGGTTTCTTGTCCACGGCGCTCAGATGTGTTGCTCCAGAGATGACCACTCATTACCGAGGAAGGCCACGGCCTCTTCCAGGGTGTCGGTGTCACTCCGTGGCAGCGGCTGGGCGGCGGAGCAGCCCCCCTGCCTGGTTGGCTCAGGGTACTGCTGCCCTCCCTGTGGGCTCACATAGGTGTTGAGCAGGCCCTCACAAATGCCAGGGTCCTCCTGTCCAGGTGTTTATGTATGGAGATGCTTGGCGTCACGAGACACCACCTTCCTGTGTGGCCATGTCCCCAGTTAAAAGAGCATCAGCACTTCGGCACGGGAAGGTCTGTGCTCGTGCCCCTGCCATGGGAGTGAGTGCCCGCGGGCCACCCAGCCTGCTCCATAGCCCCCAGGGGCCACCCGCGTCCCAGCACCCCCAGCCCCACCGGCCCTCAGCACAGATTGGGTGGCTCCCCCGGTCAGTCCTCTGTCCCCACCGGCCTCTGCCCTTCCCCGCTCGCCGCTCCGTTCACCTCCCCTCCCCTCCCTCCCCCTTCCCCCTACTGACTTCCTGGCGTGACTGCAGCAGGGGGAGGGCTGTCCTGCTCCTTGTGTGGGTCTGGGTTCACTAGGGTAGATGTCCTGAGCATCAGACTGAGTGCCGGGCGTGGAGCTGCTCACCATTTGTAGATGAACATACAACTATCTAGCAGCTGGGGAGTTTGGGGCATTCCAGCTGTGACCTTGAGATAGCCCCTCTAGGAGACCCAGCCCACCCAGGTTTAGAGCACATGTCCATCTCTTTTCCTGTGTACAGGCTAAGTACAGTGGTAGCTGACTGACATTCAGAAACATGCAACCGTCTGAGCACACGCTTATGGCCGCCCCTCTAAACCATCAGTGATTTTGAGAAATGAGACTCCGACTCATCTCTTACTCTCTGTTCTGAAAATCAGGTTTGTGATTGGTTTTCTGGTCTTAGCTGAAGCCAGGGGTCCCGCCTCAACTGCCCTGAGCCGTCTTCTGGCTGCCAGTCGTTCCCCAGTGGCAGCGCGGTCGCCTGATGGGGCTGCCGAGTCTGGTGTTTGTGGAGATCTTGTGACCCGGGAGCTCGGCTGGGAGAGGCGGGCTGTGAAGGCAGCATGTGTGTGAGTCATGGACGGGCCAGCCGCTTGGTTTTCTGCTCTGCCCCCCACCTCTGGCCCAGTGCCTGGTGGGGACGCCTGGTGTGCACAGAGGCCAGATGTAAATATTGGGACGTTTGGAAGCACGGCTGCCGAGAACTCCTGAGGCGGTGATGCTGTGGTGTGGCAGTGCCCGGGCCTGGCGCCCCTCCAGCTGGGCCTGGCAGAGGGCGCTGTCGCCTTGTCCCATCAGCAGTCCCCACGCTGGCGTCTCTGCATGCAGCCCTCTCACACCCTCACTAACATCTGCACCTGGGTCGGAAGAGATTGTTTGGAAAGCTGCCAAGTTTCCAAACAAAATTGATGGTTCTCTTAGTTTGTGGTCCTAAGTGGAGTTTCCTTCTTCCAGAGGCTGAGGCTTTTCCGAGTTGATGTTTGTTTGACAGTCACTAAGCCCCCTCTCACATAGAGCCCTGGTTCAGTCCTGCAGCGGCCTGGGAGGCTGTTGTGCAGAAGGAATCTGTGCTGAGGGAAGCCACCCCGTCACTGAGGGTCTAGCTCAGAGGTCTACAGCTGGCCGGGGGCCTGTCGGCGCCTCCTAATGTCCCCCCTTATCCTGGAGGGGCTGCGAAGGTGCCCAGGCAAAGTGGGGAGTCCCACCTGCTGGAGCTCCTTCTCCTCCGGCCACCCCGCTGCCCTCCCCATCTGCGCCAGCATCGCATCTGTCCCATGATCACTGACCTTGTTGAAGGCAGAAAAGGTGGGGCCCCTGAGCTCTGGTCCCTTTACCCTTGGGGTGCCAGAGTCTGCAGCACGTGGTGGTTCCTGGTGTGCAGGCGAAGACTGGACTTGCTCGCACAGGGAGGCCAGTGACAAGCTGGCTGCTCCCTCCCTCAGCTCTGCTGCTGGCCCATTCCAGAGCCCCGTGTCCACAGCTTTCTCCTGGTGGGAAGTGGCCAGGAGGTGAGAGGTCGGACTGGGCAGCTGGACGAGGCAGTCGGCCTACGTGCGAGGTGGCTCTGAAGATCTGAATCTGAAGGGAGCCGGGTGCGTTAGCACCACGTGTAGTGTACCTGTTTCCGGACCTGTTCAAGAACATGGGTCTGCTGGTGTCAGAGGTCAAGCGCAAGCAGAGCGTGCAGTGGTTGGGGCACTCAGGTCCTTCGCAGACGCAGGCCTTGGGGTTTCCTTTCTGTTATTAGTAACTTCTGCGATCTTAAAGTCACAGATGGTGCATTCCACAGAGCTAAGGACGGCATATTGCAGGGAAGGAAATTTGGCCATGAGGAAAGGAAAAAGGGATGGAGGTGCCCTGAGCAGGAGGTGATCTGTAGACGTCCAGGGCCAATGACGAGGGGCAAAGGAGGGAGGCTGGGAGAGAGGCTCACACAGCAGGATGGGCCTCCTGGAGGGGCTCATCGGCGGGCAGAGGAGCGTGGGGAACAGTGGGCACACCCCCTGGGCCCTTTGTCCACCTGAGCTGGTGTCACTGAGACCACTGGTCTTATAGGACGTGCCTGCTTCCAAGTGGCTTCTCAGAGCAGCTGGAGGCAGAGGCCTGAGCCCTCAGCGGCAGGGCCGTGCAGGGTTTTCACTGTCCCCGGGCAGGTGGGCTGTGGCGGCCACAGTCAGAACCTGAGGAGCGTGGTTGGTGGGTGGCGTCCCTCCAAGTCCCTGACACTGGCACTCTGAGACTGCTCTAGTGTGCTGCCCCGAAGAGTCGGGGCAAAGCTGAAAGGAAGCACAATTTTTGCAAGTTCTTTTTAAAGCTTTTTACCCCTGCTGGCATTGTAAAGAGAATCCGGTGTTTGAGGCTAGAGTTCGTTTGATGTGGAATCCAGACACATGGGCCTGCGTGTGGGGTCCGGGTGCATCCTCGGCCAGCCGTCATTAGACTCGGGAGAGCTCTGTGCGGATCGCAGAAACGCCTGTGGTGCTGCTACTCTGTGTTTCTACCTGGCTGACCCAGGGAGGCTGGCCCTGTGGGAGCCGGTCTGGGGGTCTGGGCAGCACCAATCGGTGACCCTTCTGCCTGCCTCCCTGGTGGCCGCTCTTGGAGCAGCGCGTCCGTTCTGCTGGGAGAAATGCGCACCCACACCACTGTCCTGTGGCCGTGGCTGTGCACCAGCCTGGCCCTGAGGCTTTTCCGGCGGGTATGTGCTGGGCGCTGCGGAGCGCACGACCTCTCTGAGGCTGCCCTTCTGTCTTTCAGAGGACTACCCCAATGGCACGTGGCTGGGGGACGAGAACAACCCCGAGATGCGAGTGCGCTGTGCCATCATCCCCTCTGACATGCTGCACATCAGCGCCAACTGCCGCACCGCGGAGAAGATGGCGCTCACGCTGCTGGACTACCTCTTCCACCGGGAGGTGCAGGCCGTGTCCAACCTGTCGGGCCAGGGCAAGCACGGCAAGAAGCAGCTCGACCCCCTCACCATCTACGGGATCCGCTGTGAGTGCTGCGCGCTGCCTGCTCCCCGGCTCGCCTCCCTTGGCCCCTGGGGTTGCGGGAGGGTGGCTCCGGGGTGGCGTTTTATCCCAGTTCCTGGGGGTCATGGGACGGTGGGCCCCAGCTGCTCTTGTGGAGGTGGGAGGGGCAGAGCCAGAGCCATCCCTGGCCTCTGCTGACCACGGCGCTCTCCTGGGCCCTGGTGGCCTGAGCGGGTCACTTCCGGCCTCTCCCTTTCAGAGAGGGCTGTGGGCTGACGTCCCTGATGGTAGCCAGGCGCTGTCGTGACACTGACCCTAACACCCAGCATAGCCTGCACAGGGTCCCTGTCTCTGCAGTGGCCCTAGCCCCCTTCAGTGATCACTGTCTGCATTGGCGAGATCTGCAGGGGTGCCAGGGTGCCCACATCCTTCTCGGCAGCACCCGCTGGCTTGACGTTAGGGTTAGGGTTAGCTTTCTGCCACTCCTGTCTGATCTCCTGGTGTGTCTGTCTCAGACCCTGAGAATCATTTTGAGTAGCTTCTGGAGAAACCGTACGTGTGACCAGCTGACCCCCTCAGGTCGAGAGAAAGCTGTTCACACATGGAGAGAGCTTGGCAGGGTCAGCAGACTTTCCTAATGGCCACACTGCCCATGTGGTGGGCTTTGCGGCCTGTAGGGTCTCTGGGAGCTACTCAGCTTGGAAAGCAGCCACAGACAAATGTCAGAGAGCAGGTGTGGCTGTGTCTCACAAAACTTTACTTTCAAAAGCAGGCAGTGGCTGCCGAGTGGCTGCCAGGCTTTGCCCTGGGACACGACGCCAGCTGGCATTCTCCTGGGGCAGTGGGCACCGCTCAGGTCTGTGGCATGGCACGTGATGCGCCTGCACCTTTAGAACACGGTTTGCTTGTTGACAGGCTGCTGTGGCCTATAGTGCCACGTGCCATGGGGACGTGGAGGCGAACAGGAAGTGTGCCTGATTGCCAAGCATGCATCCAGATGTATCTGCATGGCCGTGAGCCTGGAAGCTGCTGCAGGGAGCTTGCCAACCCTCGTGTGGGAGCAGGAAGCCCTGACGGGGAGCGAGGCTTGTGGGGAGGCTCTGTGAGCAGCTGGGTCCAGCCTGGCCTCTGTGGGCACAGTGGCCTCTGGGTAGCGGGGCCACCAGGACATGAGGCTGGAGGGTATTGCCTCTGGTTCGGAGAGGTGCCTTGGGGTGTCAGTCCAAGTGTGGACTTGCTGGGTGTGGGTGTGAGGTGCAGATTGTCAGGCAGAGTCATGGAGAACATCTGGGCAGGTGGTGGAAAGCCAGCCGGCATGGCAGTGCTCAGGACAGAAGCACATGGTGCTGGGTGAAGTACTCCTGCCCAGGGATTCTGGGTGGTGTGGCTGGACCACGGTCCTGTTTCCTGGTGGGCAAGATGTTGACCCGCCTGTGACTCCTCATCCAGGAAATGTTGCCACCTTGCCAGGGTGCCGGGAGGGACGGGAGCAGGCTGCCCTGGTGCCTGCCCCTTAGCAAGGGCTCAGCAAGTGAGCAGTCCCTTGTGCCCTGGCCCTGCAGGTGTCAGGGCATGTCCCCCAGGACAGGCGAGGTTGCTGGCTGGGCTCACAGCACCCGGGCACTGCAGCACTGGTGCCACTGGGCCTGCCTCCCTGGGCTTCTGGGCTGAGCCCCTTGAGGTGGTGGCCTGCTGGTGCTGCGGCTCTGCCAGAAATCCCTCCGGTCGTGAGCTCCTGTGGGATGGAGGAGCCTGGGGCCCCTGAGATGCACAGTTAGTGCTCGTTTGAAACAGCTCTGGGGAGGGTCTGGGGCAGGGCTGACCTTTAGGGAGACCTTTAGGGATGGTGCCTCGGCAGGCTGAGCGTTGGGAGGCCCAGGGTTTGGCAGTGGAGGCAGAGGGGGTGGGCAGATTCCAGGGATTGTGGAAACATGAGCAAGGCTTGGCTTAACCAGTTTGGGAGGTCACCATCATCACTGTGTGCTGTGGGAGATTGCCCGCTTTCTATATAATGGACGACTGATTTACTGTCCTAAGCAGAATAGTCATGTTTACAGTGAAGCCAAGTGGCGGGGACCTGTGTTCTGCCAGGAGGCAGGCCGGGCTGCATGCAGTCTCACGGAGGGTGTGCGAGGGCAGCCTGTGCCCGGGAGGAGGCGGGTGAGGGCGGCGTGTCTGGGGCTGGCCGGCAGCTGTGCAGGCAGCTGCCTTGTGTAAGCGGCCGAAGTTGCTCCCCACATGGCTTGACAATTCCTTTTTCAGGCAGGGGAAACCTAGGGTGTCCTTAAAATAGAGGGATTCCTGACCCAGGGAGTGCACACTTGCTATCATTGTCATACGTAGTTCACAAAGAATGAAGTAGCACTTAAAAAGAGGCACTCAGAAAATCGGCCAGCATGTCCACCCGGGTTCTCAGGAGTGGTGGGGCGCCCTGGGGTCCCCCTCGTCAGCACGTGCACGTGCTGAAGGCACTGTCCAGAGAGTGGGCCAGGAGTCTGGGAGAGGTGACAGATTGGGCGTGTCACAGTCCCTATCCCAGAGCTGCATGGGCTGTGAGCCGTGGCACCTCCGTCTGCCCCGTGCCCAGCGTTTGCAGCTTCTGAGCAGATAGGAAGTACCGGCCCTGGCCTGGGTGAGCGGCAGTCCTGGCAAGGGGGGTGCCTGTGGGTGACGCCACGCTGTTCTCCCACGGGCGGCTGCCATGTTCTTGCTGCACCAAGGCTGTCAGGCGAGTCCATGGCGTCCCTGAGAACCACGGGGCTGTCACACGTGTTCAGAGGGACAGGTGGTCCACACCTTCATTTGGAAGGGGGGTACCTGGCCCCGGGGCCTGCAGGCGGGGAGGAGGGGCTGGGCTGGCTGCACATGGGCATGGCTGGGCAGTGCCTTGGGGACACGGTTTGAGTCAGGACTGAGGGACACACACGTGGCTTCAGGCCAGTCCCTGGCCCTCGTGTGCTGGGTGGGGTAGCGATGAGGACCCGCCCTCTGCCCTCTCTCAGGCCCCTTATGTTGTGTCTGGAATGGAATCTGGGAGAGATGGCGCCTGGGAGCCTTGCTTCTCGCCCCGCCGCCACTGTGGTCGCTTCTGCCGTCGGTGAGGCTGTTTGCAGTGTGCAGCCTTCTCTGGGTTCGAATTCAGGTGGAATTTTGAATGTTAAAAGTTTTTGTTGACTTTTTCTCCCCTTGGCTCAGCTTGATTCGTATTGCCGATTGTCGCTCAAAAAACAGAGCAGAACAAACGTATGAGGGGGTCAGATGGCTGAGTGCCCAGCTCGAGTGGCGGTACGCGTGGACGCCCGTCTCCACGGTCCTGAGGCCGTCTCCCCCGCATCTCTGCATCTCTCCTCTTGTCCTTCAAGGACACCAGTCATACCTGCCTAGGGCTGTGCTCTGGGGTGACCTCGTTGTGACTTAATCTGCAGAGAACCCGTGTCCAAGGTCACGTCCTGAGGGCTGGGAGGGACGTGCATTCTGGGAGACACTTCACAGTACTCTGGGCCTGGGCTCTTTACGACACGGCAGTCGGCTGCTCCATCTTACAGCTCCTCGCGGGGCTTGCTGTGTGCCTGGAGGGTGGTTGGGTGCCAGTTGGAGCAGAGAGCTGGGAGGAGGCTGGGTCGGAGGGGGTGGCGGTGAGGAGCGGGACAGTGGGCTGGCTCACGGGTCGTCTGGATGCCACGCCTTGGGGGGCTCTCCTCACAAACTGAGGGGCACGGTCACTCAGCTGTGCCTCTCATCAGGTAGGATGCCCTGCTGGGACGCTGGACGCGTGGGGCATGGGGCCAGCCTGCTGTGTGGCCGGGCAGCCCAGGGGAAGCTCCCGCTGGGGGGCTGGGCTTGTGCTGTTCCTGAGGCCGTCACACCAGGTCAGCTGTGGTCTTAAGAAATACCTGTGGGCGCTCAGTTTCCCTATCCTCCCTCCCCTTGAGCTCAAGATCACATCAGCATCAATAGTGTCCTTCATTTTTTTGTGACTGATAAGCCCTGTGCCTGCCACCCCACAAGGATGTGAGGTCACGAGCTCTGTTCCTTTATTCCGTCTGTTCCTTTTTCCCACAGTGCATCTCAGTGCCTCTGTGGGGCTTGTTATTGGAGAGCTAGGGATCTGGTTTTATGGTTTGAACCACCAGTGTCAGTGATGGGTGCTCTGGAAAGTGGGAAGGCAGTTAATAGTGACTGGACCCCTTTCAGATCTTGAGGGGTATCCAGACAGCTTGCCAGGCAAGCAGACAGGAGCCAGCTCCTAGAGGCTCTTTCTGGGGTGGCCGAGAAGATCCCCCTGAAGACATCTAGAGGGCTGAGGGGTTGCCTTCCGGGTGGGATGAGCTGCATAGCTCCCTGGGGCCCCGTGTGCCAGCAGTGTCCCATATCCCGAAGCTGCCTTACCCCTGCTGTGTCTGCTGCACCAGGCAGCCAGGGCGGCAGTTTGGCTGCGGGAAGTCATGAGAGCAGAGGCGTGTGGCGTGACACGGCGTGCATGGCTGCTGAGGTCTCCTGGTGTCCCTGGCGTGCTCTCGAGTGCAGTGGAGGAACAGTGAGGCACTCCTGGGGTCATGTGACCATTTCTCCTCTGCTTGGGCGGGCGCCCCAAGGCCTGAATTATAAGGCTGTTTTTCACTCCTAACCGATAATTCATGTGGACCTGAAGTGAGGATGATGACAGTCTGTTTCACGAGGTTTTCTCACGAGCATCGAATAACTTGAGATAAAGTAAAATCTCAATGAGTGTGAAAAGCCAGTTAAATTCAAGTGGTCTTCTTTATCATTGTAAGAGTTTTCCTCTGCTGTGTGTTAAGCTGCAGTTGCTCAGTGCTGTCAGCAAAGATGAAGATACTTCTGGAAGAGTCTGAGCAGCAGCCGTAGGCCGCGCCGAGCCATCAGGGCAGCTGACGCCTGACCCTGCGCCCACTCTGCACAGCCCACCAGGCACCTCCAGCCGTCGTCCTTGCCCACGGCTCCTGGGCGCAGGCCTTGCTGACTGGTGCCCCTCTCCTGGCAGCCGTCAGGGTGGCATTTGCCATCCAGTTGGGTCACTGTTGGAGGGAATTATATAATGTGATGTCTTAGGAGAATTGAAAAATGGATCATGTAGAACTATATGAATGTGTATTTTTCCTTCAAAGGACGTAAGCCAAGTTTTGAACTGGCAAATTAGTTTTTACAAAGCTGACTTTAAAGGTTAATATTTCTGCTCATTCCTTACATTTATACACCCATGTGTGATTTTATATATTCTTTTCAATTGCTAATAACTTTTTACAGTGTGAAATCTGACTGATCCCATTAGAGGCATTTGGAAGGTGAACCCTTGAGGCTGTGGTGCCAGGAGAGCGTGAGGGCGGGTGCTGGGCGGGGGCCCTTTGGTGAAGCCCCTCCCCAGGAAGGCATCGCATCCCGTGAGGGTCTGACCCCCTCGCCTTGGAGGTGACAGCCGCGGCTGGGCTCTCCTGTAACTGCGGCCGGGGGCGGACTCTCCTGCAGCCGTGCAGCTGTAGTTCCGGTAGTCAGGTTCTTCTGTCATGACCGTCGCTATTTGAGTTCTCCGGAGACTGCGGTCACAGCTGGGCTCGGTCAGGGAAGCTGGAGACCGTGCACCTGAAGCCAGACGCGGCCGGTGGCAGTCGCCCAGGAGATACTGAGTAATGGCTGATTATTTCAGAGATGAGCTGGGAGGCAGAGTGCAGACACACTGCTTCCTCTGTGTGTCTCCGTTTGTGCCACGGATCACTCCATGCTGCAGAAATGGCCCTCGGCTACTTTTCCTTCTGATTCGACAAATCACCCCCTCCTTGCTCCAGATGCTTTTTTTTTCAGAGTGCAGAAATTTTGGTTGTCATTACATTTTGCATCAAAGATGTCTTAAGCACATGCTCATAGAAAAAGTGATCAAGTGTCCTTCCAGACAAGAGAGACTTTCGATGCTTAATCAGTACTTGAGAAAAACACTTCGTTTTGAGTATTTCTAGTATTTTGGTCTTGACAGGAACAGATTTTAAGGATTGGGCGTCATTTCAACTCTAAGTTGATGGTCCAAACTCAGTGTTCTTAGTCGTCAAAACAAGAAGTTTCTCAGCTTAATCTTTATGAAATTTCTGAATTTTGCCCATTTATTTTCCTACTAATCAGTGAAGTCCAGCGGGCTAGAGACGCTGGCCTCTGGAAGAGCCTTTCTGCGGCCCCCACGCTTATGACCACTACTACTTTCCATTAACTCAGCACAGAGAAGAGGTGATGTGGGGTGGGCGGGGCTGGCGGGGGGTCTCCCTCTGCCACTTGCTCCTCAGAGGCCCCCCCAATCCCAGCTTCCTCATCGTCGATGCCATTCAGTCACTTAGCAAGAGCTTCCTGAGATATGAGGTGTCGGCCCGCGCAGGTGCCAGTAAGAAGCCGCTGAGCGCAGGCCAGACTGGAAGTGTGCGGAGCCTGCACGGGAGTGCCAGTGGCCCAGCAGAGGCGGCGCCTTCCCCGGTGTGTGGGGCCAGGGGATGGAAATCGCCTCTGCCCTCAGGGAGTTCGCTTCCTGGGCTGGGAGGCAGAGGACAGGACTGGGAGCCCAGGCGGGCCCCAGGCCCAGCAGCAATGGAGGAGTGTCTTCAGATGAACTGTAACTACCATTTAGTCTACAAATGTTTTAGCCTCTACCACCGCTCAGATGTTCTGGGTTCCCAGCATACTTGGAAGAAGTAAACAAGGTGTTTGTGAGGGAAATGAAGAGTAAACACAGAAAATCCTCTAAGCATTAGGCCCAGGGAGGCAGGAGGTGGGGAGGCCGGGAGTCCGACACAGGCTGGTGGAGGGGGCTTTGAGGTCCGCATGGAGGAGGTGGGAGCCAGGCGGAGTCAGGGACTGTGAGGGAAGTGCCCCAGGGAGCCGAGGGGGCCTCAGTGTGATTCCCAGCGGCAGGACAGGAGCTGCACCTGGGCCCAGGATGCAGGGGAGTGTGCGTGAGGGGCGCCGGGACACCTCAGCCTGGTGTGGGGGAGCAGGCAGTCACTGAGAAGTATATGAATGGGGAGCGTGTCTCAGGAGTGCAGGCCAGCTGCGGGGACCTGCAGCCCCACCATGTTGGCATGTTCCGTTTGCCCAGAATGCCCAGGACCCAAGAAGGGGGCTTACCTGCACCTCACAGGCTCTTCCCTGGCTGTGTCCTTGTAGGTCACCTGTTCTATAAGTTTGGGATCACGGAGTCTGACTGGTACCGAATCAAACAGAGCATTGACTCCAAATGCCGAACAGCCTGGCGGCGGAAACAGCGAGGCCAGAGCCTGGCGGTCAAGAGCTTCTCAAGGAGAACTCCATCCTCGTCCTCCTACAGCGCCTCAGGTACGCTTCCGCCTGGCCCTGGACAGGCCCTCGGGGCTGGGGGGCATCCAGGCGGGGCCAGGGCGGCTCGCCCGCAGAGTGGGGGGCCGGGAGCCCATGGGGCCTGGGCTGCGGAGTTGCTGGGGCACCCTGCCCCCGGGGACGGGCCCTTGGCCGGCACCACTCTCGGGAACACTCCTTGCAGGCTCCAGGCTGGATCTGCCCACGCGGGCTGCTTGGGCCCTGGTGCAGGGCCATGGGTGTGCTCGGGAGCACGTGGGTTCTGTGCCGAGCGGCCTCCTGCCCTCCTGCCCGCTCTGCCTGCCCACCCAGCGTAGTACTGGCTCACCACCCTCTGGTCTGCCAGGCAGCCGCCTGCAGGCACTCGGGTGCGAAGGGGCTGACAGTGCCCCTGACCCTTGTCTGGGTGAGGCCTCAGCCGGGCTCCCCTGCCGGGCAGCGGGGCATCCTCGTGGGCCTTCCTCCCAGGCGGTGTCGGCGGGCCCCTTTACCCGGAGAAGATTCCTAGGGACGGCTGTGGGACTTCAGTGTCGCTTTCCACCTGAGACATCTCAAAATATCTTAACAGAGACATATTTTGTGAACTCCTGCCGTGGCTCCCTTGGCAGCGGCTCTGTGACCTGGGCCGGGGTCGGGTCGGGGTCGGGGTCAGGGTTAGGACTCAGGGACAGCGGTGGGTTGGGTCAGCCAGAGCTCTTGCTCCAGAAAGGCTGCCGTAACAGTCCTGGTCAGGCAGCGTCCTCCTGGGGCTTTGTTCTCTCTGAAGCAGGCCTCAGGAAGCGGTTGCCCTGTGGTGGTTTTGGTAGTTCTCAGACACCTGACTGACCAGTGTACCCTGGAGATGGGAGGTGGTGGCCCCAGCAGTGGTTTGGGAAGTGGCCTCTGTGGAAGACTCTCTCCAGGAGGGATCTGGGCCCGCTGCAGTTAGGAATTCTGCCCCGGGAACTGAGAGGCAGCAGTCATGGGGCACGCTGCGGTCCTGGAAGAACTGGACTGGCTTTGCGGGGCCTAAGAGGGTGGGCAGAGGGACTGTAGGTTCAGGGGGGTGGGCTTCAGCCTGGGGTCCACGTGGCCCAGCACAGAGCTGGATGCTCCAGCACTCAGTGTGTGTTCCAAACGGGTGAGGGATGGTGAGACATGTGGGCTCTCTCCCCGTGGGCTCTCTCCCCGTGGGCTCTCTCCCCCGGGCTCTCTTGCTGGGCTCTCTGCGGGCAAGGCACATCCCCAACTTAGGAGGTACTCGGGAGACTTTGTGGGGCCCTGCGTCTCTCAGTGGGTTTCAGGTGGCCCCTGGGCATCGTGTTAAGTTCAGACCCTGATTTAGCACTTCTGGACAGTGGCCTGAAGCTCTGAGTTTCCAACAGACACCCGAGTGATGCCGAGTGGGTCTGGACCCCATGTGCACGCAGGGTGTTGAGCACATCAGGACGTGGTGGGTGCGTGGCCATCCGGCCTGTGTCTGCTGCTGACCTTGTAGTAGAAGACTCACTGGGCTTCACCTCCACTTGGGTTTGATCTCTGTTATGTGGCTGGGATTTTGTAACTTACTTTGTACTATCATTTGTCTCTATTACAGTTATTACTGTTTCAGCTGAATGACAGTAACTCAGTTTAATGATAGTTGTCTTTCTTCAGTTACATTGTTTATAAACATGTCAGTGCCTTCTGAGATGCTGTGTGTGACTCTCAGCTGCCCCTGGCCTTTGGTGGGTGGTCCACAGCCACGATGGGGGCATGTCATGTACCCTAGACAGGCTCAGCTTGTGGGGACGTGAGCCCACCGTCTCCAGGGGTGTCGTTCCTAGAGAGAAACCCAGCCAGCTGGCCTTGGGGGCCCAGGAGCCAGCGGTGCTCGTGGCCTGAGTCCTGGCCGGCTCTCCCAGTAAGGGGCCACCCTTGTCTTCTTGCTGGTCATTGGGCTCCCAGCTCCCAGATGGAAACATTGCTGCCTCTCCAGGGTGTGCTCAGGTGTGTGGGGTTGGGGGGTGCACACCTGTGGGCTGAGGAGAGGGGTGGGATTGCGGGCCGGCTTTTTAAAACCACGAGAGGGAGCAAGATTCGCATGGTTCTCTGCCCTGGGTCTTTGGGTGTCGGTTTGTCCCGGGATGTTGGAGAACGGGCTTCTGAGCCATCCTGTCTGGTCTCCTGCTCCTGCTGGTACACCGCCAGGGGCTGCTTTCCGCTTGCAGGCTCCTGGAGTCCAGTGAGTTCTGAGAGGGACACCCAACACAGTCTTCTTGCATCAAACTTTTTAGAAAGTACTGTGCTTTATACATTTCTGTTGATTTAATTGCTCTCTATTTTGACATGCTACGTGGTGGCTGCAAATGAAGCGAAGTTGGGTGACTGGTTAAAATCAGATGAGGTAGTTAGGTGGCTGATTAAAGGGACTTCTGGGATTTTTGTCATTGTCCTTTCTGCATACTCTTGGCCTAAGCAAGCAAATCTGGTACTTAAGGCCAACGTGGTGACAGAAATAATCTAGTCAAATGTAATTAAGCCAGGATTCCTGGCTTGATTTGGAATCAGTAGCAAATGCAGCTAGGGTTGTCTCGTCTTGTTTACTTTTGAATTACCAGCAGACGAAAAGAGACTCCCAAGTCAGCGTATGCGTGAGGCCCTGAGCCAAGGCGCTCTGTTCGAAGCTGAATCACTTCCGCCAATCTGAACACAGACCACAGAATCACTAGTTTCAAAGGGTTTTAAAAGTCAGTTTATTGAAACCTTTGTATTGTACTCTTCTATCTGGTAATCCTGTGCAGACTTTTATATGTGGCTGAGCTGACAATGGCTGCTTAAGATTATACTGCACAAGGCAGGTAGGTCAGCATTTTTGCCATAGGCCTGGGTGGTGTGTTGAGGACCTTGGTGGACATCTACTTAGTGCCCCCATAGTTTGAGTTCCAAAGAACCAGCTCCTGACAGCCCGTCGCCCGCAGATCTCTGTGTGCTGCTGTCTGTCCTCAGGAGCAGAGGGGAGCCGGGACAGGTCGGGGAGGCCCTTCTGTGGCTGCTCTTCCTTCGCTGTGGTCTGGAACCTTCTGTCTCTGGTCACTTGCTGTAGCACTTGGGGTCTGAACCCAGTGTGGCTTTTACACTGGGGTTTTGTATCAGCACAAATTACAAAACAAAGATTTAAATTAGTCTTCTTGTATAATTAATTACAGGAGAGCTATTGATTAAATGGTAAATCTAATCATTTGAATCTGTGTCATACCACAGGCCACGTTTCTATGTTTTTTCAGGGCCTTAGGGCCTGTTACTCTTGGTTATATTTTTGAATCATTTGAGAACTGGCAAAATTAGTTGATTTTTTTTTTTAAAGCTGGAGCAGAACCTACTTGGGAATCTAGTTACACAGTTCCTGTTCACTAGCAGAGTGGACTTGAAATGTTTTGGCCACATATACTCTTAAAGGGATTCAAAAAAGTGTGTTCTTCATACAGTTTTAAAATACTGAAGACATTTAAAAATATTGACACCTAAAGTTTTTCATTGCACTTTGAAATAATTGAAAAGGATGTCATTTCTGGCATATTGCAAGTATTAACATTTTACTCTTGTTATATTCAGTGGAATCCAATACATTGTCAATCTGATGCCCACCCTTTACACTATTAAAAATACACAGTTATGGACGTTTTCCATGTGCCTTCTCCCCTGCCAGTTCATGGTAACATTGTATGTACTTCTCTCACAGAATTTCATTCTGATGGAATGTGCTTTTCTGTTTCAGTCTTTTGTACTGATCAATCTACCATAATGCTCTGCAACAAAAATACATGTGTACATTGAAAGTAAAAGTTTTTTTTTCTGAACCCTTTATATTCTAAGTGTTTAAGAAAAATTCTTCTGATTGAGAAATCATTACAATTAAAATTAATGAATAACGCATCAGAACAAACATATGTCAGTGTGGAGTAAACACAGAAAGTAAAATGGCATTGGAAATGCATCTTTAAACAAGTGGGTGGAGATTTTTTACCATTACTTGAATTATCCAGAGACACACAGCACTTCCTGCTGGTCTTGAAGGGTTTAACACCAGCTTTATTCTCATTTTTCATTTCTGCCCATACATCCTGAGCAACTTCATTTAAATAAGAATTGTCTGTCTGACTCCTCGGCCCTTCAGACCCCTTCTGTCTGCAGGTCTGTACAGAATGCCAGCTCCTTGTTGAGACACGTGGGTGTGAGTGGGGCTGGGGAGGGGCGTGGGCTCATGTGGCGGATGGCTGAGGGCCATGTGCGCTTCCCCACAGAAACCCTGATGGGCACGCCACCCCCCACCAGCGAGATGCCGCAGCCCCCGCCGCAGGCCCTGCACTACGCCCTGGCCAACGCCCAGCAGGTCCAGATCCACCAGATCGGAGAGGACGGCCAGGTCCAAGTAGTATGTACCTTCTCTCTGGCCCGGGGTGGGGAGCTGGGGAGGCACCGGTTTCCCCACATTGCTGGATCACATTGGCAGCTCGGGTCGAGGTGTCCCCACAAGTGCCACTATAGAGCAGAAGTAGTTCCCGGTACGAGTTCTAACGTTTGCAGGCGAGGGCATTCCCCCGTGGCCATCCCTGCCCTCAGCTGCGTGCCCTCTCCTGTGCCTGCCTGCTCCCGTCCACCCTCCTGGGCAGCAAGCACTGTGGGTGTGTGGAGTGTCTCCTCAGCTCAGACACACGCTACCCTCTTCCTTCTGGGGCCAGCAGAAAAGTGGGTGGCCTTAGCGAGACATGGTGCTTCCCTCGGCCTGTGTGGTATGCACTGGGTTGGTGGGCAGTTAGCTCTGCAGGGGCCCACACAGCTGCCCCCGCTCCTCCAGACCCTGCCTCCCGGGCCCTGCGGTGAGGAGAGCAGGGCAGGAACTTCGCTAGGGACACCCCCAGGCTCTGCCCATGTTTAGGGCATGGCAACCTCTCCGTGGTGTGCCTGCATCCCAGGGCCTCTCCTGGAAATGATCCCCATCCGGGGTGCCTGGGTTTGATGTGGTCCTTAGCACACTGCCTGGGAAGGGTGGGCTCCAGGAAGTGCTGATGAGCACTTGTAAATGGGGTTTTCTTCTTTTTCCAAAGGAGATGAAACAGTTATAAACACTGGGCTCTTTGTTTGACAGCCAGGCAGTTATTTGTATCCCATTAGTGAGAAAGCTCTTTGAAGGAATTCCAGAATAGATAACTTTGATATAGGGGTTACATAGACATAGTAAAATAAAGCGACAGAAAACTCTACAGTAGTTAAGATGCATTCTGATTAAGATGGAATTTAAACAAGATAATGGGTATTCATTTCACTGAACCATGTCAAGATTTATAGGAATTATTTGTCTGCTTCTATCTACAAATAAAAGTGCATTTTAGTTGGATTCTTTGATTTTTTGGTAACACATTTATTAGTGTTTACTCCACCTGTTTAAATAGTCACGTAAGTGTTCCCTTGTTTAAAAAACTTTCTGACCTGCTTTCAGTGTTGCGCACACGTGTGCCCCCAGCCCCAAGTCTCCCCCGCGGCCCCCTGGCAGCACCCCGAGGTGGCCCTGCACTTGCCAGGTTGTCCCACCAGCAGTGCTGGTCCCTCCAAGCTGACAATGTCATTTTTAAAAAGTCATTCTGATTTCCTGGAAAACTTACGTTTCCCTTTTTTATGCATTCTTCCTGTTCTTAAATTTGCTCGTTTAGTAACATTTGTGGTCTGACAGGTCTTCCCCAGGCCCCATTGCTCCTGGAAGAGTTGCTGCTAAAGGTTCCGTTTGGGCCCTGAAGGCTGAGGTTGAGGAGCCTCCTTATTAGGCTTATGCCATATGAACACCGTACCTCACGCTGTTCGGGATGTAGTGTCTTCTCTTGAATTCTGAGATGATCACAAACACAAATTTCAGAGAGTGTTTCTTGTTTTCTGTGGCTTTGATTTTCTTCTGATGCTTCCTGGTGTCTCTCTTTTGCTGCGGATCCCACAGGGCCACCTCCACATCGCCCAGGTGCCTCAAGGGGAGCAGGTGCAGATCACGCAGGACAGCGAGGTGAGTGGCGAGCAGCCCGCCTGGGCCCCTCCATGCCTGCGGTCTTGCTGCGCTCTGATCGACGCCAGAGGCCGATGCCCATGTGCTGCAAGACCTCCTGACTGGCGTTTCCTCAGGCATGCGCCCCAGCCCCGGGCTGTGCTGCACTTTGCCCGGGCAGCCCCACGGCTGATTTTCTTTGTAGATATTTGCTTTGTTGAGGTTTCTGCTCCTGGCTTAAACTGCCCTCTGAACACCACTTCCCTGCCCGCCCACCCCGATTCCGGTGCTCCCACCTGGGCTGCGGCCCTGCACTCCCATCAGGGCTCAGTCCTGCTCCCCGCCTGGGAGACCCGAATGTGCAGGAGTGGGAGGAGCATGGGGTGGGTTGGTGGGGGCTCTGGGACTGTGGGGCGGGGCTGAACTGGGGAGGCTGGGGCGCCCAGGATGGCCCCACTCCCACTCCCTGCACCCGCGGCTGTGGACTCTGGGCCCTCATCAGCAGCTAGGGTCCTGGGGGGCAGAGCAGAGGTTCTGGGTGCAGACAGGCTGTGTGGCCGAGCACAGAATGAGCGCCTACGCAGATGAGGGGGCCGAGTGCTTCCTGGAATGATCGGTTCACTAGTGGGCGTGAGGCCAAGTGGCGGATGGGGCGGGTGCGCCCTCATGGGGCCAGCATGGGGCTGGGTCATGTCCAGAGGCCCAGGAGCCAGGCGCTGTTGCCGCGGGGACCCGGCCGCTCAGCAGGAGGTGCATGGGCTGGTGGGGTGCAGTCGTGCGGCGCATGGGAGGCCAAGCCCAGGAGCTGGAGGCCAGCCGGGCCTTTTACTGCCAGAAGGCGCGCTCCCATCAGGCTGCTTTCCAACTAGCCGCTGCCCGGCAGGGAGCGCTGACATTCAGCTGCCCTCTGCAGTGCGGGTCCCTTGTACGCGGATGCTTTCCAGTAAATATATCAGAGCCCTCCCCCTCTTTTTTAGCTTACTTTATTGTAAGAGCACAGTGTATTATATGCACGCAAATACGTGTTAACGGTCTCCTTATGTTACTGGTAGCGGTGGGTTATCAGTAGTTACTTCGGGGAGCCGGAAGCTGCACAGGACCCACCGCAGGGACCACCACGTGACCTCAGCTCTGCGTTGTTCATGAGTCGCTGTGGGAAAAGAGGGACCAGCATGGCCTCGTCCTTTTTTCAGATTTCATAAATGAATCCCTCTTGTCTATATAGTCCATATTTTTGATCCCATTAGGTATTAAATTAGAAGCAATTGCTATTAGTAATGATTACTTCATGGTAAGTCACAACAGGCAATTAGTTTTGTCATCACAATAAGGCCTTAATGTACATTTAAAAATTAAGTGATTATTGTATCAACATGAAGATGTCTGCAGAGACATTTAGCAGAACTTACCAGGCTTAAAACAATCATTAACGTTTTTAAAGAAATGAAACGCGTTCCAATTCCTGCGATGCCAGTAGACCTGTGACCCGCTCGGCCGCATGGTCCTGTCGGTGTCCTGGCTGTGACAGTGCGCTGGTGACGGGGTGCTCGGGGCTGCTGCACTTCTGGTGCTTGAGAGTCTAAAATTGCTCTGAAATAAAAAGTTAGTAAAAAATGACATGTTCATTTGGGGTCAGGGTAGGAGGGATTGGTACAGTTTTTTTGAGTTTCTTCATGACAATCCCCCACCCACCCACTGTAAAATCAGTTTAAATATTTTGTTTCAGGGTTTTTATTGCTACCGGGGGTTGAATTGCAGAATTGGTATTAATGGCTTGCTGGTTATTCATGACTGGGGTGGGGAGTTCCTGCCTTGATCATATCTTGAAGTTGTTTCTGTCCTTGATCTCTCCCTTTTCTGTCCATTTTGCAGGGCAATCTGCAGATACACCACGTGGGACAGGATGGGCAGGTACGTGCTACTCGCCTGCCCTCGCTTGATGCCTGCCTGCTGGGGGGCATGGCCAGACAGTAAATGGTACAGGTTGGCCCTGGGAAGCACTGGCTTTGCTCCAGGTGGCCACGGACACCTGAGAGACTGGGACTTGTGCTCGTGGGGCTCCGGGCTGAGCTCTGTGGGGTGTCACGTAGTGCTGTGCCTTACAGGCGAACATGCCCCCTCTGTTCATTATGTGAATGGCGTTGATGACCATGTTGGGGCAATAACACAGTAGACAGACGTGGCCTTTGTTTGTGTTTTCTGTGGTCAAATGCCAACTGGCACTTTAATCTCCAACAAAAAGAATAACTGAAACGGCCACAGGGTGCCCCAGTGCCAGCCGTCTGTACAGTGTGCGCCCAGCTGTGGGGATCTTGGGTGAGACGTGCTTTCTGAGGTGCAGCGAAGCTGCTGGTGGCTTCAGGGAGGTACATTTTCACATCTTTTCCTTTTCTAAAGGAAACTGTGCCTTCTGACACACTGTGTGTTCATACAAAGCCACCTGTTCTGGCAGACCTGTTTACTTAACCCCTCCTCATTTCCCATGTGTGGAAATTCTCTCTTGCTATTTTATCATTTGGCTGGTTCCTGTTCCCATTAAGCTACCTTGCTCATAACAACTTCATTTACTAAACTGACCAAATATTTGCAAAACACCATTCTGTTTCACAAGGTATACACACCTGTCTCAACTCGATGTCACTCATAGGTCTGACCAAAAGCTCAGTAGCGCTGGAGGCAGGAGGTGGCGGCCCCTGCCTGCCCAGGCCCCACCTCGGTCTCTGTGTCAGGCCCCCGAGAGGACCCTGCTCTTGCTGGGGCCCTCCCCCCTCAGCCAGGGTGGCCTCAGACTCCCAGACAGCTGCCCCAGGCCCCGGGTGACGGGAGCCTCTGCCAGCCCTGCTCAGAGACGGCCTGTGACTGACTGAAGGCTGCTTACACAGGGCTATGCCCCTTCTTATGGGGGAGAGGTGTTGAGTGGCTCCCCAACTTTGGGCAAAGCAGTACCCTTCTGAACTAGGGAAGCCCATGAAGAGACTTCCGTGTGATGCTTTTTGAGTTCACGGATCCTCTGACTAGCTCATCGGCTTGATTTATTCTTACCTAATAGTTTCAGTGTCATTAAGAATGATCATGTGGTGACACTTGAAATGCTCAGGGAGCAGCTGAAAGCCCCGCGAGGCGGTGGGCAGGCCTTCGCCTCCCCGACCGGGAGGAGCCCGCCCCGCGCCCACCCCCTGCTGCCCGCGTGCCTCGCTGGTCTCTTTGTGCTCTGCTTCTCCTGTGTGCTGCTGTTCCTGCGTCAGCACACAGCTCACGTGAGGGCACCTGGCCCCTTTGTACCTGGGCAGCGGAGGGGAGGGAGATGTGTGCTGGGCTTGTTCATGGCCGCTGCTGGTGGTAGGGTTTGTAAGGCCGAGTCGGCAGTAAGCCGTGTTCCCAGGAGGCCGATCTGATGGCTTCATGTCCTGTGGCCTTTAATGTGCGTTCGCATGATCCTGAAACCTGGGTCTGCCAGGGGCCATCCTTTCTGAGTCATGTGTTTCCTTCAGCTTAAATACCAAGAGATCCCAGTCCCACGCCACGTGGGAGCCACGTGCATACTGCTGCTTGGGGGCATGGCCCCTGGTGGTGTTGCCGTGGGTCAGTGGGACAAGCGCCTGGCACATGACAGCCACAGGCTGCAGGCATAGGGCGGCAGTGGGCACTGTCCCCACATGCGGGAAAGGAGGGAGGGCTGGAGAGAGCCGACCGGCAGCCCTGTGGAGAGCGAGAGGCTTAGGGGGGAGCCGCGTCCCGAGGGAGGCCACGGTGGGGAGCAGGCTGGGGCCTGGCTGGCCGTGGAGGACTTGTAGGTGGTCCCCATCCCCGTCCCTCCGTGTTCGGCCGTGCACGCCCTCTTGTAGTGACCACTCCTCATCCTTCATCTAATCCGCTGTTGGGGGGAGGCCACAAGGCCACCTCTGCTTGGGTCAAGATTACAGAGCAGACGCTGATTCCGGTCCCGGGCTCTGGGCGAGAGCGCCTGCTCGGGAGGCCCCGGGCCTGCCCCCCGCACGCCTGCTGTGCTGTGCTCCGGGCGGGCAGCTCTCACTGGGAGGCGCGGCCCTGGGCTGCTCACGTGCTGTCTCCTGTCGTCCCCGGGCCGACCGCAGTGCTCTGGGGACGCAAGTGAGTTCACACAGCCCCCGTCTCCTTTGCTACCCGCTCAGAGCCTCAGAATTAATCAGTTGCCGTCCTGTGAGCAAAGAGCAAATAAGCATATGGGGACAGTGTGCGCTTGGACTGGCTCAGGGGTGTCCTCGCCCCTCTGTGACGTATGCGGCTGTGGAGTATGTCTGATAGAGGGTGCGCTTCGTCTGGTAAGTCAGCCAGCATCAGAGACACGGCGAGTTCCCAGAAGACTGATGCGAGCCGGAGGCGGAGGGCGTGATGCGGCTGGACGTTCAGACAAACCAGGTGCGCCAGGTCTGCACAGTGATTCCTCATCTAAGGGATTCCTGTTTTCCAAGTCAGTGTCAGGTGTAATAGAAGTTTTGACTCACTATGGATTTCCAGAAGATTCTGAAAATGAAGACCAAAGGCCCTCAAATATTAAGAGCCATAGGATCGCAGTTTGCAGTGAGGCAGACGAGATGATTTCTGATGCATCATAGGTGAGAACCTCTGTCACAAGGTCCTGGGCCTTTACATGGGGTGGTACGGGGCTCAGGCGGGCGGACTGGCTGGCTGCCTGGGGAGGTGCCCCACTTTGGCGCAGTTGCCCTGCCACCAGCCGGGTGTCAGCTCTGAGTCATCCTGGCCGCCTCAGGCCCGTCCTCACTTACTGTGGGGCTGTGAGCGGTGGGGCGTCCTGGCCCCAGCAGAGCCGCGTGACCCTGGGACCCTCCCGTGCACAGTCAGTCTGCACAATGGAGTAGGTGTCAGCCTGCCTGTTGAAAGGTGAATTTGTGCCGTGTGCAGCTGTGCAGCCTCAGCGTCCATGTAGGAAAATAGGCTTGAATCTGACTCCCGAGCTCCTCCCGAGCTCCCCGCACAGCTGGAGCCGGGCCTGCAGGCGGGCGCTCGGCTTCACCGCGCGCAGATCCGCCACCTCCAGGCGCTTCGTCCCCGTCCGCCCTGCCTCCCGTTGCCTTTCATCTTTTCTGAATGCTGGTTGGGACACGTCAGATTGATTTCATGACCTGCCGCTTGGAAAGTGCTAGAATAGATCACGACTGATGTCTCTCTTAGGAGCTTACAGTTCTAAGCTATTGCGATCAAGTAATTTTTAAAACATTTACAACTATTTGCAATTTACACTGTAAATATTAACACATTTCACCTCGTATTTTGATAAATCCAAAGATAGTCAGGATGATAAATCAATAGTACATTCAAGCTTAAGGAAGTGATTATAGCACCTTAAATAAAAACTGCTTTAGCCTACTTCTCAGGGTGTTGGGTCTAGATTGGAAATTTGGGACGCCCTTGGTTGCTTGAGCATTAAAACGCAATCTCCCTGAGGACCCTGGAGTCGGGCTCCATGTGTTTCTGCCTTTCATGCCACGTGGCTGGTGGCATGGCCTGAAGGTGGCATGGTGATCCTGGAGGAGTATGCTTGCTGCCAGGCTTCTGGGCAGCTATGTTTGCACATGTCTCCCATTGCTCTCCTGGGGCAGGTGTGGAAAGAGGAGCCGTGTGGAGGGTCGGGTGCAGCTGGCACGTGTGCCAGGGGCTGCTGGAGCACTGGGGTCCAAGAGGGAGGGCCTTCTCCATGGCTTCTGGGGCACATGTGGGATGCGGGTGCCTGAATCCCCCACTGACGCTGCACCAGAGAAAATGAGGGGTTGTGGGGCCCCTGCATTCAGGTAGGCCCTGCCAGGCACCCATGTGCGGGCTGAAGTGGGGCGTGTGGATGAGATGGGAGGGGGGCGGGGGTGAAGCACCCCTTCTGGCTCTTGCCCCTTGGTTACACCTATCTCCTTGCACTGCAGTGCCTCCGGATGCCTCTCGTGGGTACAGAGGAGGGCCCGGCTTGGGTACAGTACTCTTAGGAAGAGAGCTGGGTGGGCGGCAGTTGTATTGGGACCCAGGTCCCAGTGCTGCCATTCCTCCAGGGCACCATCCTGTGGAGGTGACTTGAGCACTTTCTGCTAGAGTCTCCGGGTCCCTGAAACAGAATGGGCAGTGCCAGCTACAGGAAGCTGGTGGGGCTTCAGCAGGAGCAGAGGGTGGCCAAGGCTCAGCCCCGGCCCTGGTGGGTGCTAGAGGGGGGTGCTTCCTTTCTGGGAGAGAAGAGCCTGGGCTCGGGTCCTCAGGCATGCCGCAGGCATGGCACCGAGTGAGGGCAGGGTCTGAGGGAAGCCTTTTTTCCGGAGAGCGATGCCAGCTCTGTCCTGGAGCGGTGTCACTGGCCTGTGCTCTGAGCAGCTCCTGCTGTGGAGCCCAGCATCCCCTCAGGTTCGTTGTGGGCACGTGACAGGTTTTCAGACAATGTTGCTTAGAGAGCTGCATGCATAAAACATCGATTACTTAGGAAATACTCCCTTTCTTGGTAAAATGGTCTCCATGTGTGAACCTTTTAAAGAAAGCAGACCATCTGGGCTTAATCACTGTAAACAGTTTAGCTTAGAAATTTAACTTTTTAAAATGAGTTAAAATGATTGTTAAAGAAACACCAAACGTAGTGTAAATGTAAGTGATCTTACAGAACTCCTAACAAGTAGAGCCTGGCCAGCCTGAGGCTTTAGTTTGTGCCACCAGAAGCCCCAGTTCTAGTTCATGGTGCTGCCGACGGACTGGACTTGACTGGCGCATGACAGAGCCCGGGCCCTGGCCTGGGAACAGCCGAGAACCGTTCTGATTGCTGGGAGACGGCGCCAGTCACATTTCTTACCAAGTATCCATTTGCTAGAGTGACATCTTGGTCAAGGCTTCAGTGAATCGCTCCTTTCCCTGAACCAGGAAGCCGAGTTCGGCCAAGCGAATGC